CGACGAGTTTTTTTGCCCTCAGCGCTCAGAGCAATGGCTTCTAGGAGATTGATCGCGATAAACGAGGCATTGGGGTAGCTTTGCAATGTGGAAATGATGGTTCCCCCCCCTCCCCTCCCCCCCGACCCCCTCTCGTTAGCCCCATCGCCTCGGCGTTTTTTTTGTTTGCAATGCGGTGTACTTCGGAAACGCATCGAATGCGTTTTATGCCCATCATGAAATTCCACAATGTCACAATATCGGGGCGCGACGTGGTGTTCGGGCCCAGGGGGCCCCACTCGGCCCATATCTGCAGTTGAAGCCATTGCTGGCCCAAGCATGGGGCGGCGAGGTGCAAAGCGCCGCCTCGAGCCTCCCGAGAAGCACCCTGAGTTTTCTGCTTCCGAGTCGAGCTCTGGCGGCGATGCTGAGTCAGACATTGGCCATCAATTGCACGAGCGCAAAGTTGTTTCTTCTCTCTCCACGCTGCTGCTGAAAGATTGGGCATGGGGCCGGCTCTACGGCACCGAAGTGCATAGATATTGTTTGGCGGCGTACCGCGATGGGATGCAGGATGTCCAGGAAATTTCGGAAATCGCAGCCATGGGGTCTTGGGGCGAGCATGAGCAAAACATCCACCGAGACCTCACGCGTAAGTTCTTAAAGGACATATCGTTGCCACCGCCAGCTGTGTTTCCCGTGAACTGCATTGAGCCAAGCACGCGGAAGCTGATACAACACAATTGTCACTGTCTACTCCCGCATGAGATATTCAGCAGCCTCTTCCATTCGCATAGGCTTGAATTTCAAGAAACGTTCGGAGTTGATCGGCTGCCAGAATTTTGGGCAGGCGCGAGCAGGTTTGGCATGCCGAACGTAATTTCTCGCCTGTCCCAGCCACGCGTCCCAGAGAATGTCCAGACGAATTCCAGAGAGGGGCCAGGGTTACCTTCGGTTTATCAGAACTTTGCCAGAAGTTTACAGGAAGCCTTTCAGAAGTTTGTCAGAAGTTTGCCTGGCGTTTGCCAGAAGTCTGTCAGAAGTTTGCCAGAAAATTGTCAGGCGATTGCCAGACGTTGCCAGAAGTTTGCCACGCAGAAGTCTGCCAGAAGTTTGTCAGAAGTTTGCCAGAAGTTTGTCAGAAGTTTGCCAGAAGTTTCCAGACGGCATCAGAAGTTTGTCAGAAGTTTGCCAGAAGTTTGCCTGAATGTTGCCAGGCGACATCCAGAAGTTTATCAGAAGTTTGGCAGGGGTTTCCCAGAAGTTTGAACAAAGTTTGCCAAACGTTTGCATCGCGTTTGCCAGAAGTGTGCCCCGCATGGTCTCAATGGTAGGTGAACGCGTGGCAAGCTCCAGCGTTATGTTGTATTTGTGGCCCCAGAGCTCTGGAATTCGTTTGGTTTTCACGGGGCAATTTCGGTCCCGCGCAGGTCAGACCCGCGTCTTCATAGGCACCCAGTTTGGAAAATTCCCAAGCACGAGAAGCATGCAATACCGTTACGTATACACGGCGACGGAGGAGAGATATTAACGAACGAGTCGATGATGACGATCTCGGTAACTGGTTTGTTGGCGCGGGGTTCGACTAGAGAGCTGGTGCTGCTCGTAGCTGCGTGGCCATATTGCGCAACCGCCATGGCCAAGAAGCACGGGGGGAAGGACACGTGGCTGGACATTTGGCGAGTTATGTGTTGGAGTTTAAACGCCCTCGCTCAGGGCCGCCACCCGACCAGAGATGCAATGGGTTCTCGCCAATCCCGAGCACCCCCCATTCGGTTTAAACATGTTTGGTTCGGGCGATGCTTGGGGGTGAACAGCTGGTTTCCTGGGCCATGTCAGTTGTTGTATCGGACGTGGGCCCCCCGACAAATAGCAGCACCACTCATGGCCTGGGCCTGCGCAGCGCGGGCGGCGTGCTGGAACGACGAAGAATTCGATCCGACTTCCCGCTTTGCAGAGTGTGCAGGCGAGTTTCTGTGCGACGGTGATGCGCCATATCGAGCGCTTGTGTACGCGATCCAGGGTGACTTGGAGTTCCACTCAAATCATCTGGGGGCACCTGCCAGCAATGCTGTCTCCATGTGCTGGGTGTGTGACGGAAACAGAAGTGACAACCCATGGAACGATTTCAACAAGGACCAAGGAACGAGAAACGTCGGTCGCCTTTCCCCGAACCCCTCCCCACCAACGCCTCAACACACAAAAAAAAAAACCCATGGCATCCCGGCCCATTCCCTGATGTTTGTTTTTTTTTTTTTTTATGTGGGGAGGGGGGGGATGGGCTTCGCGGGCGTCTTCTCGAAAATTGTTTCTTAGGACCGTTCACCCTGGATGACCCGACCGCGTACTACAGAATACGTTTTTACGCACCCTCTGTTCCAAGTGTGGGGCGTGCGTCCAGCCGCAATGGCAGCCGACGCAATGCATACAATCGACTCAGGCGTAACATCGCACATTTTGGGCAACACATTTTACGAAATTGTGTACGAGCAGATTGGGGGTAGAGCGACGGATGCTGTTGGCAGGCTGTGGAGAGAAATCAAGCAAGTGTACGTTGACATAGGGAGCACTGGCCATAAGTTGTCATTCAATAGCTGGCGCTCTTCCGCAGAGCCCGTTCAGTTTGATTTGGGATCGTTTGGATTGCTGTTTTTTTTTTTGGAGTGCCGCATCCATAGTTTTGTAGTTTTTCGTCCATGGAGGAGCAGGCGCTGGCGGCGGCGGCGGCGAGGGGGTCGGGGTAGGCGTTTGGGCTGGGCGATGTGTAACTTCACGACAAAGGGTTTGCGTCTTAGGGCCTGGCCCCCTGGAAGTAGGACAGGGGCGCGGAAAGTTTGGGTTGAATTATTTTTTGGACACAAAGAGCCCGCATTCAGATTATCCAGTTATGACTACAAAAACCAAGGCCGCCGCCCAGCGAGCATTGATTCCAGTTGCAGCGCAGTTGGCGGCAACGTACGACGACAACACGACAATGCGTTCAATGCGAAGCGCATGCATCGCAAATTTAAACACGTTCTATAAGATCGCGGAATCGGCGGGGATGTACCTCTCGGAACGGGAGTACCAAGATTGTATTTCAGCCGCTGAGCGCACGCTCGTGTTTTACAGTGCTTTGGCGTCGGAGGCCAAAGCCAATAATGTCTTCAAATGGTCAATTGTAAATAAGTTTCACCACTTCTGGCACATTGCCCAGGGCACTCGCTTCATCAATTGTAGAATGTTGTGGTGTTACCAAGCTGAGGATTTCATGCGCCATATAGGTAAGGTGGCGAGTTGTGTTATGATGGGGTCGTCCTTGCTAGAACTATCGAAGAAATTATGCGAGCGCTGGAGAATCGGTTATTAGAAAAGCAAAACTTCGTTCTTCCGCCAAACTAGTAATGCTCCGAGCCCATTGCCCCCCTCCCTCACCCACTCCACAGCTGCCCCCTTTTGGGGCACCCCCCCCCATCCCACCCCCAAACACAAACAACGAATGAGCAACGATGCCTGACGGCCTGGTTGCCCCGTTTCGGGGCAAGGCGGCCTTCGACCTAACGCGAGCTTGCGCCGAGTGACGTGTTTTCTCGGCGCGTCAGGACAGCGCCGAGGACGTGCGCCGAGGATGTGCGCAGTCGGCGCATCGCAGCGGCGGGAGACGCAAACGCGTCCTCCTCTCCTCCTCCCCCCAATGCCGCCGCCGCCACTTCCTCCTTATCCTCCTCCTCCTCCTCCTCCTCCTCCTCATCCATCCGCTTTGTTCCGCCCTCTCCTCCGTCTCTCCCTCTCCCCCTCCTTGTCGCTCGTTGTCTGCCCTTTCCCTCTCGCCCTCTTTCCTTCCATATGTCCCTCTTGGATGTTGGCCTCGCGGATCCACGGGGATCTTGTTAGATCCTGGCCCGCGCCCTCCGCCCCGCGGGTTCTTCACGTTCCCTGAAATGTCCCTGGCCCCAGGGGCTTGAAGAAGAAGAAGAAGGATGATGACGAAGAGAAGGGATATGATGAATCATGAGTTCTCCCCGACGTCAAAAAACAAGGAATAAGGATGATAAGGAAGAGCTGGGGGAGGAATGAAGCAGCAAACCAGACGTGAAACGCACCAACACTTCAGACACACGACGTCATACGCACCAAAACTTCAGACGCACGCGTCTGAAGTTTGAACGACTTCAGACCACCCTCGCGAAACATCTGCGCCCCATCTCTGCTTCAACCGCGACCCATTTTTCGAAGCCAGCCGCGACCCATCTTCGATTTCTGCACCCCATCTCCAAGGGCGCCTGCTGAGCCCCATCTTGAGATCATCTCCGGCTGGGCCCCATCTTTGAGACCTCCATGCAACGAGCCCCATCTTTTTGGATCTTGGAGCATCTGGGTCCGAGCGGCCGAGGAACTCGCCGGGGCGGGGACGCGCGGCGCCGCAGCGGCCAGCGCCCGGGCGCCCGCCCCTCTCGGCCGAGGAGGTCCGGCGCGCCCCGGGGAGGCGCCGGAGGCACAACGCGGGCGCGCGGCCGAGGAGCGCCCGCCGGGGGGCTCAGCAGTGCTGCGGTACAGTCGGGGCGTTAGCCTAAGGAGCCCTAATTAGGGATCGAGACCACTTTTTTCCACAAGTTAAACTTCGATGTCCTATCGGAAACATTAGGGAAACCTGGGGCAGGCTGTGAAACACTCAAGGAACGCGGAGCCCCTCCCCAACGGAAAGGGTTCCTTCTTCAGGGCCCCGATTGTGCACCAGCCTGGAACATATCCCTCTCCCTAGGCTGGGCATCGCCTCATCACAGTGCCAAGCTCAGGGGTTCCCTTCGTTCTCCAGGGCGCCTCCCTGAGATTGTCGTCGCCTTTTGGCGCGTCCAGCTTAGGGACAGGGATAAGGTCGAGGCCGGTGCTGCCGGTGCTGGCGGCGCACCTCCCGGGAAGGCCGCGTGGGCGGCAGGGGCGCCAGGCCTGGCCCACACGGGGGGGGGGGGGGCAGCGGGCCCCGGCGCGCCCGCGCGTGCTTCGCCAGCGCGGAAAAGGGCGGGGGGGGCCCGGGCCCACAGGGGCACCAGTGGCCAGCTCTGCAAGGAGAGCAACTTCGGCGTCCTCGGGCTGCGCGGGACGTACGTCGCCGAGGCTGGGCTGCCGAAGGCGACCAGCGGCTTGGGCAAGGACGGCTGGAAGAGCACGCGCGGGGCGGCCCTGGTCGCAGGCAACGGCGCCGGCGGCACCTGAGGAGGAGAGGTGGCGGCGGCCACGAGGGGGCTCGCCACTACCAGTTTCGACCATGCCAGCCCAACTAGAGGGGGAGAGTGACCCTCTTCGAGGCTTTGCGACGGTGACGATCCCTGCGCAGGCGGGCAACTGCGTCTGCGCGAGTGCGTGCCTGGCGCCGCGCTGGGGACGGGGGTCGCCCAGCCAAGCCAAATCGGCGGCCCTGGCTTCGTTCCTGGCTGCGATCGGCGATGCCGCGGGCGGCGGCGGCCGACTGGAAACCGAAACCCGGTCAGATGACGAAGCTGGGCTTCCCCTCCAGGATCGGCGGCGAGGTCGCCGCGCCGTGCGGCGCAGCGGCCACCTGAATCATGTGAAGGGGCCCTGGGACACACAAACAAATAGACACAAATAACAGGATTCCCCATAGTTTGACATATTTTCTTGGTTTTTGTCTTCCCCCCATTTCCCATATTTTCCTCTATTTTCTTGGGAATCGACGATTAATTGTGTCTGCGTGTTTCTTTTCCTCCTGCTATTGCATCGCGCAGAGGGACCCCGTGAGCAACGCGAAGGCGAGTGCAATAGCGGAGATGCCGTGGAAGGTCCACTGCGGGCTGGGCACACAGGGACACAGCGACAATAGGTCCAGACGAGCAGAACACTAAAGCAAGCTAAAGCGGACACAGCTCAAATCCGACCAAGAAAGAGAGATAGAGAGAGAGAGAGAGAGAGATGGAAGAGAGGAGGAAGGAAAGCGGAGGAGTGCAAATCTCCCTCCATGCCCCTCCCTGCCCACGAAGCTGGTGACCAGCTCGCCGAACGCGGTGGCCACGTTGTAGGGCAGGGGGGAAGAGGGGAGGCGGGGCCCTTCTACCCCAGTTCATGTGCTCCTCCAGCTTCCTCTATCCTCAAAGCCTCCTCATAATGATGTTGGGCCCCTTTTAAAATAAACCCCAGCAACGCTGACTGGACGAGTTGGCACTAAAAGCGCCTAGGAGGACCTGGTCTACTCCTAATATGTAGGGCGAGTACTGTGATAGACAATGAAAGGTAGACCCTTATATGTACCCCCTTATACTTACTCGCCCTACGCTGCCTAACTGGGCAGCCCTCAGTCCACGTCAGAGCTGCTGGAAACGCCATGGTCCCTCAACTTGCACTTGAGGTGGCGGACATAGCCCTGGACCTTTGACAGGTTGGCTTTCAAAATCTTCACTTGGTCAATCTTCAACTTGCGCCTGATAACCCGACCCTTGCCCATGCCCTTGCTCTCCAAGAGGTGGGCAGGGGGCGCCCCACGCGGGAGCGGGGCTTTCTCGCTCCCACCCGAGGCCTTCGGCCTCAAGTACGGCACAGGACCATAGAAGCCATATTCACCAGGCTTGGTCCCAATCGGTCTCGGCGCAAGGCTGCTGCTGCTGCTGCTGGGCTTGGGCCTGGGCATGGGCTTGCTCTTCGGCATCTTCTTGGCCTCTGGCTCCATTGCCCCCGCCCTCCAAGCCAAAATAGCCTAGGTTTGATAGAAAGGCTACTTATAGACAGTGTTATATGTCTGTGCTATCGCTGCTGGCGCTGCTACGGGGAGGGGGGAGGGCCTCCTCCTCCCCCACACGCGCACGCAACAAACAGCACACACACGCACACAAACACACTCACGCACACTGCCTCCTCCTCCCCCAGGCGGCTGCCATAAGCAGCTTCGAGGTCGCGGAGGCATCCCTTCCCCATGAACCCACGCACGCACGCAAGCATAGGGGCAACGCAAGGAACAGCAGCAGCACACACAACAAAAGTTACCCCCCCTTCCCCCTCCCTAAGACGTCTGGTCCCCCATAGGGCCTGGCATGGCTGACAGTGCTGTTACTGCTGACTGCGCTGTTACAGAGGCCCACCAAATGTCAGCCATCACCATGGGCCCCCAAGGGCAGTACCCTCAAATTTCCCCGGCGTATCGTCGGGGGTTGAGACGACAGAGTCTAAAAGGCTGCGGGAAGCGGCGTCGTCGCAAAACCATTTCCATGCGTGTGTGGGCAGAGGAGGCAACAGCAGAAAGCAGACAACCCCTAGATGGGGCCTACATCTTCAAAATGCAGAGTGGTTGCTGGTACCTGTCCACGGCGGAGCTTGCGTAGCTCCGATGATACTTTATTATCACACGGCTTCGTGAGCTTTTTGCCCAACTTTGAGCCAGTTGCAAAGGCCCCGCAACGAACACAAAAAGAGCATAGGCAAAAGGGACCCTACTATCCAGCCAACCTGCAATGCATGTTGCAGGGGCCTCGCTGTCTCAAGAGTGTTCCTGAGCGCTACAGGCTGTGCCCTGCAAGGTTTGGTGGATTTGGGCCCTACCGCCGCAAAGCAGCGGATACATCGAAAGCTTACTCCAGTCCAATGGGGCTGGTGATAATCCACAAAGGGCCTCGTTTTTCGAGGTGCCGAGGCTTTGCTTAAACTCCCATAGAGCTCCTCCCTGTGGGGCCAGAGGTCTAGCATGCGCCCTACTCCTATAAGAAGGTCGGTGTAGAGCTCGAAGCTGGCGCCATGCTCTTCTATGATGTCAGGGTCAAGGTCATGGCTGGCTGCCGCCTGGCCTGCATGCCAGTCCGCTGCCTTGTTGCCTAATATTAAAAACCGATCCTGATCTGTAGTGGCTTCAGAGGTGCTCCTATGGGCTTTTACCTTTTGGAGCTCTGGCCAATGTTGGGGCTCCACTGTGCGAGCAATGGCCCGCCAAAAGCCAGCGAATTGGTTGGTGCCTGTTAGCACTCTGATAGGGTTTTGACCTTTGAAAAGTCCAGAGTAGTCGGCGACAATGGGAGCCGTCCGTGGGTAGTCAGAGAATGCTACTGCTAACCCTAGCCCCCCGTGCTCTGCGTGCCCAGAGTTCTGGGGATAGAAGCCAGGCAGCGGGGTCCGAATTGCTCGAAGGAGGACCCCTTCCGGGCTCAGCTGTACAGCTGCACAGCCTCCCCTGGCAACCCCAGGTAGGGTTGGATGGAGTCCACTCCCATCTGTGAAGATCGGGAGGTCTCCTGCGAAGTTGCCAGGTGGGCATCTTCCCCTTTCGTTAAAATGGATCACGTCCCAGTCTTCTATGGGACTCTCCAGTTCTTGCCTGGGTGCCCATAGCCTGCTGAAGAAGGGGTCATCAGGCCCCTGGGCCAGGGCATTGGATTGAAAGTCTTCTAGGTATTCATCCCTAGCTTCTTGAAAGAAAGGGCACTCCCATATACGATGGTATGCCGTGTCCAATTTATGGCAAAATGGGCATAGCCCGTCAGTTTCAAAGCCCCAAGCTTGAAGCTTGGATCCTGTGGTACAACTTCCACAATACATAGACCTAACCAACTGCACCTGCTTAAACGTGAGCTTCTTCGAAGCTCTCTTAAGTGCAGTTTTAAATCCCTCCGTCCACAACCCCCTTTCGACTATGGGGCTGGTTGACGGTAACACCTTACTTACATGCTGCTGGATCAACTGTTGCTTTAAATATGCAACGAACTCCTTAGAGACCACTCTGGGAGGTGTCTCTGTTATGTTAAATTCTTTGCCAGTGGATGAGGCAAAGTGTGTTGGACTAACAGTGGCCCACTGTCCTTTCCTAAGCCATAGCAGCATCTGTGAAATAGGGCCGCACACCTTGCCAAGCCATGAAGTGCAGCTTGTGTGGGCCAAACGATCCTGAGCAGTTAAGAAGGCATCCCGCAATTCAAATACTGTCAGTTGGTCAGCGTGCCTTTCTAGCTCGGGTCTTGGGGATGCAGCTCGCCACCATTCCTGGCAATATCGCTCTAGACAAGCTCCTGCAAGAGATAGCGGGTCCTGAAGATCCAGCGTGGACCACCACAAATCACTCTGTCCTGACCTGAGGTGGAAGGCGGAAGCACCTGCCGAGAGAGATCGCAACCTAGATATTTCTGCCGGCGTGAACCCAGAGGTTCCCGCCCCATAGTGGATGGTGGACCTTACTCCCGTGATGTAGAAACGGGACCGCAGGGCCTTGGATTTCTTACCCCTGAGCCCCTTGAGGCGCTTGGCCCTGGCTGTCAAGGCAAGCCACCTACGCCGGCGGACTTTTCGGGCCCCCGTATACCTAGCAGTTTTACCTGCCAGAAAGTCGATACCTAAGTTCTCAACTCCCCAGCCTGCAGTACCTGCTAGATTCCCAAGAGTCTTCTTGGCTCTTTCCACCAGTTCCCCTGAGCTGCCCACAATGCTAATCTTCGGCATCGCCAACTTCAGCTTCAGATCATGGATTCGGCTGCGGATATGGAGAGCCAGCTCACTCAACTTTTCTAATACAACATTGATGCTCATGCCAAAGCTCGAGAGCGTGAGATCATCAATATGTAAGCTAGTGCTCAATCCTTCTTCTAGCTGTTCTGTCATGACAGGGAGGAGGTAGGTCTTCGCCTCATATGTGGCTGGGGATGCCCCTGCCGTTATCCCCCTCCCTGGGAAAAGCTTGGTAGAATAGCACCCATCCATGAAAACTCATCTTGCCCAGCGATACAAATGCAGAGAGAATGCCATGACGTGCTGAGGATAAGAGAAAGCCAACCCATGCTCATAGAGGAAATGGTGATCCACCATATCGTAGAAGCTCTTGAGGTCCCATAGGAGAGAGAGGTAGTGTCCTCCTTGGCCCGAGAGGGCCTCGCTCCTAGTAGATTGCCGCCATACCGTATCCTCTGGGGAACGGCCCTGGCTGGCACTAAACGGGGCACCAAGACCGTGCTCCCGCTCCCATTCTTTACAATATCGGCCTCCCAACTTGCCATGAACCCTAATGAAGGCATACAGATGACCAATACATCTTCTGCCTCCTCCCTTATGCTTCCTGGCAAGCAATAGCTGCAATTCATGCAAAGAGGAAGGTGCTACACCTAGCAAATCCATTAAGACGTAGAGCTTCCCCAGCGTGATCAGGCCGTCGTCGGAGGCCATGCCGATGTGCTTCGGGTGGTACCCGTCTGGCTGACAGGTCCTGGTTTTGAAACCTCGGGCAATCTTCCTGA